CTTAAGTCTAAGACTGTGGCACTTTTGTAACCTCTTACCATTAGAGTCAAAGGTAGAGCCCTCAGTTATCTGACGGTCAGAATGTTCTTCTTGTACAAGCTAGCTTGGCAAGCAGTTGTAGAGATTGTACCATTTCCGTGGCTCAAAAATGTGTAAGTGCGCTGATGTCGTTGCCAACAGCGCTGTTCACGAATCAAACGCCACTCATGGTCAGTGGTGAACCACATCTAAATGTGTTGGTGTCTGCCGTCTAGCATCTTTTTCTGTATTCTCTTCCTTCGCGTCTTGTTTCTCGTCCGCGCCATTAGTGTTTCGCCTCTTGGCTTTTCGCATGCTCGTCCAAGGCTCAAAATCAACTGCATGACTGCTGGTTAGGCCAATGACCCTGCCAAGGACCCAGAAATTGATGACTAAGCATCATTGTCCGCAATTTTACCTCCATCGATCTTAGAAGCCACTGATTATTGATCGTAACCGCTGTCTGTTTCTTAATCTGTTTCGCTTGTGTGGCACTATATATAAGAGAGGGTTTGCAGCCATGCCGAGTGAAATTGTCAGCGAGGTGAAACGTACGTCACACGGGCAGTGACGGAGGCAGTATAACATGACAACTGAAAGGATCTCAATGTTGAGAAACCAATTAAGCTTGCGGATACTGTAGCGCCGGTTCTTTGATGTGAAATCTTTCTTGTACACGATAAATGTGGAAGCGCACAGCTCCTGTGAATTACAAGATTATCTCGTTTCCAAGCGTCTGTTATTTCTCGAATTTTCGAATAATTATCGTGCTACCTCCGATTTCCGATCGTCTTCAACTGCTGAAAATGTTCAAAAAAATCGATTTTCAGATGTCCTATGACAGTACGCTTGTCGGCGTTGGTATTGTGATACTGGTAGCATTGGTAGCCGTAGTATTTAAGCGAATGTGAGTTTTGGAAATTTTAGTTGCTTTTCTGGATAACGGCTGTATTGATCGGGCGTGTTAATAACAATTACTTTCTTCAGAAAGAAGTATAAACACGAGCAAGCATTATTTCGACAGTCACAAATGGGCTACCCGAATCCACCTCCTTTGCGAAGTACGTTTGCTCTTACGTTTCTTCACGTTCAACATAGATTTTAATAGAAATTTTGATGACCTTTTCTCCGAAAGAATCGATTTATCTCATTATTGATTCAGGTCCAATTCCTAACGAACCATATCCAATTCTTCACCTTCCAAACTATGCCAATACCGGAAGCATGCGAGATACTGTAATAACAGTTGATGGTCAGTAAGTCAAGTTTTTATTAGTTGTCTTGACCATCTTAACCGTCCCAGCCCAACAATTTCGTTTCCAAGTATGTAGTTGCAAAATTGACTTTGTTGTGAATGTTTTTGACAGGAGCCGTTCAGGGGCAGTCCGGCCACGGGGGAAGGAGGGGGGTGTGTGGGAAGGGTATTTTGCACTTCTGCTACTTCCCATCAACGTGCCGACCCATCAAAGTGACTTCGTGAGCTTACAAAAGTTGACAGGTTTTACCACAGTGGCCCGACGAGCTTGCTTCAGCTTCACAAGTGTTCACAGGTTTCACCTTAGTGAGACTTGTAAGTAGTAGTGAAGCATCGATAAGTGCAAAATGCACCCCCCCCCCACGGGTATGTGACAAGAGAATCGTAATTCACCGCGCTGGTGGGCGTCGCGTGCGACGTCGCGCCCGCAAATGACGATGGTTCCAGGTAGTAGATGGCGACAACAGGCAATTCAGAACCGAAAATAGTCACGAATGTCTACGATGACAGGGTTTACATATGCCGCGCCCATCGCCGCACGCGGCGGTGCGGCAAATTGCGATTGTCTTGCCCGTTTTCGTGACTGCGATTACTTGCTCAGATGCCCCTTTTCGCTCTCTGATACCCCCCCCCTTTCACTCTCTGGTACGGACTATAGGAAGTACATGAGTTCTATTTATTCTTCTTTCATTCTACCTATTTGCTAACTTCTTCAGGTAACCTTCAACGGCAATGCGAGTACTTTGAGCACATTCCTGTACCACATCAAGTCTTCTCGCCACGACACTACGAACCGCCACCACCGTATCCGGGCGAGAATAACAAAACCTCGAACATCTAGCTCAGTGCCATTATGTGTGTGCCTTAACCCATCATGCCAGCCACCTACCAACTTTCAGTCATCTTATGACGTCATCCATTCCTTTCCTGGATGCTTTCTGCTCACTTCGGTGTCAGCTGCTTATGTGTATCATTAGTAATTCGCCTATTTTTGATCGCTCAATGATCCTCCAGATTTTCAGCTGTCCTAGGTTCGAAAAAAATGCCATCATGCCCTAGTTATCAATTACTAGATAGATCAGAATCTTCTGGATCTCATTATCTTAAGGAATTACGGGTCTAATTCGTGGTATATTTCCTTCGAGGTATATGTCCTTTTCCTGACGATTAAGCAACAGCTGCGCTTTCTGTCAAAAAAGATCGGTTGACTTTACGACACTGGGCGTTTCTTAGATCGATTGTAATCGTTGGAAGAAATGTTACAGAGTTTTGTATGTATTATATTGAACATAATAAATATATGTCATGAATGCCGGATTACGGTAGTTGTGCGGTATCTGTCTTTGCAAAATCAGACCATGTTGTGATGGAATGATCGGGCCGCTTCACATCGAACAGCCAATGAATTCACCTGCAGCGAGCAAACTGTAGTTCGGTCTGGAGTCAGCAGGGATTTTTTTTCAAGATTATGAGTAAAAATTAAAGTAAAGGCCCAATCCACGCTGATCAGCAGGAGTCAATTGCACAATCACGTGTTTTCTCAGGCGCAGTTTTACCGACGGCGCCGGGGGGGGGGAGGATTTTTGCACTTTCGTTGCTTCACTAGTTCTGGTTTACAAGTCTCACTCTGGTGAAACCTGTGAACTCTTGTGAAGCTGGAGCAAGCTCGTCAAGTCATGGTAAAACCTGTCAACTCGAAGGGTGTTCTAGATGGCTCGACACGTCGAGGGGAAGTTGTTAATGTGCAAAATGCCCCTACCCTGTCATCAAACCGCCCATTTTCCACATTGGCGTACTCCTCTCAGTGCTGTCTACTTCCCACTAGGGTTCGTTCATAGCCGTAGAGTCTTGAGGGAAATTTCTAGAGATTCCTCCGATTTTGTTGTACGTTCAACAGCTCTCCATTCTTCAATCCCCGCAATCACGGTCCACCTCTACGACGTTCGAAGGGCATGCGGGAGAAACAAAGACTCGCTACTGAAAACGTTGCTTCTTCTACAATGTGTATGTGCCACGATTTGTGCGAGAGCCGTTTGAGATGCAGAAGGAGCACCACGAGGTAGAGCCCCATGATCATTAGCCGGGTGATAAGCATAAAGGTAAATGAGCGCTTTCACTCGAGGGGGGGGGCACTTGATCAATTCGTGTTAACGAAGGCTCGCAAACACTTGTCAAGAAATGGTGCGGGCTTCGAAGATTGCACGACGTCGCCATCTATAAAGAGGAGTATGGATGTGTAGTAGTATACAGCGCGTAAAATGGGAAAGAAAAAACCACTCGAACATCGCTCGTTGTTCGGACTGTTCCCCATCCCCCGTCCAAGTGCGACCCTCCGATACGATTCTCCGAGCGATGCTGTCCTTGCCTAGCAATCATGGGGGTATGCGGTTGGTGAAAGGACGGCAAGGGACTTTAGTAGGGTGGCGCCACCAAAGTTCAAAGTTCTGAAGTTGCGAGATTTTAAGCGGAGTGTAGGAAAGATGGGGAAGGGTGAAGCAACGATTGTATT